GGCGGACTTAGAGAGGCAGTGTGCCCTAGACCAGGTACCCACAGATGAATGGGTCACCATCCTCTCTGGGAAGTTATCCGGCCGGGCCAGTGAAGCGATCACCAGCTACCGGGCGGTGAAGGATGCGCTCCTAGCCAGGTATGCGGTGACCCCAGAAGCTTACAGAAGGCGATTTAGAGAAACCAACAAGCAGGTTGGTGACTTTTATGTAGAATGGGCCTGCAGGGTTCACCGTACCGCAGCCCACTGGATGGCAGGATGCCAAGCGGTAACTGGGGAGGAGGTGCTACAGGTGTTCCTGCTGGAGCACTGCTTTGATAGACTACCTGCTGGGGTCCGGGAGTGGGTCAGGGATAGAAAACCCTCTACCCTACCCGAGGCTGCCCGTCTGGCAGGCGAATATACGGACGCTCGTAAGTTGGATAGTACAGCTACCAAAGCCCCTGCCAGACTGGAGTATCGACCAGCAGTGCCTCCAGCTCCTTCAGCCTATCAACCCCCATTACACACCACCCCAGCACTACCACCGACGAACAACTACGTGCAACCATCCAGATTCAATGCCCGGGATTATTCACAGCCCATCCGGTGCTTTGGGTGCAAGCAGTTGGGGGCACAAGGGTCCAGAGTGCCCACTGAACAGTGCCAACCAAGCCCAATCCTGGAGGAAACCAGCCAACGGGAACCAGCAGCCACCTCAGCCTGCTGCTCACTGCATAGAGCAGGAGGAGTTCTGGGGCATCCTACACGAGGCCGACCCAGTGCAAGCAGCTCACCAGGATAATCGCCAGCAACATCGGCAGACGGTGAAACTTAATGGCAGGGTGGTGAATGGGCTAAGAGACACAGGAGCCACCATGACACTGCTCCAAAAGAACCTGGTCTCGAAGCACCAGCACACAGGGGACACTGTGGCGGTGAGGGTAGCAGGGGGTGCCGTGTTTCGTTTACCTGTTGCCTGGGTTCATTTGGATTGGGGAGTGGGTGCTAGACACGTGGATGTGGGGGTGATGAAAGACTTGCCCGCTGATGTTCTTCTGGGGAATGATTTGGCCCCTTTGGTTTCAGCCTATGCCCGATGGGCCCTGCTGATGTTAACCCAGTGACTACCCATGCTCAGACCCGTGCTTCTGGAACCGGCCCACCTGCTGATGAGACCCAGGTAAGATCTCCTTCCCCGACTGGTACCCTAGATCAGGTCCCCTTAAGCTGGGATTCCCCAGAGGAGTTTGGGAGGGAAACCCGGGCAGATCCGACCCTCCAAAAGTACAGAGACAGGGCAGATGCTGGAGAGGAAGGAATAGATGGAGAGCGGTATGAGTGGGTAGGGGATAGGTTATATAGGATCCCTAAGCCCTCCCAGAAGAGTGTTGCCCCTCCGCCGAATCGACAGTTAGTGGTACCTGCAAAGTACCGGCAGGAGATTCTGCAGATAGGGCATGATGTTCCGTTAGCTGGACATCTAGGGTCCCGCCGCACAGCCTATAGGATCTCACAGAATTTCTTTTGGCCAAACTTTAACCAGGCTGTGCGGATGTATTGCAGTACGTGTGACACATGTCAACGGGTAGGAAAGCGGGGGGACCACCCTAAGGCTAGGCTATTATCGATGCCTATTATAGGGGAGCCCTTTGCCCGCATAGCTGTTGACATTGTGGGTCCACTGGCCAGGGCTAGTCCATCAGGTAAGAAATACGTTCTTACCGTGGTGGACTATGCCACTCGCTATCCAGAGGCAGTAGCGCTGTCTAATATAGAGGCAGAGACGGTTGCTGATGCCCTGGTTAGAATTTTTACTAGGGTCAGGTTCCCTAAGGAGATCCTCTCTGACCAGGGAACTCAATTCACCACTGTGCTCACCCAGCAGCTGTGGAAGGTGTGTGGCATTAAGCCGTTACTTAGCTCACCCCTACCACCCACAGGCTAACGGTCTCTGCGAGCGCTTTAACGGTACCCTCAAACAGATGCTGAGGACCTTTACAGATACTTGCAAAGACTGGGAGAGATTCCTGCCTCATTTGTTATTTTCTTACAGAGAGGTGCCCCAGGAATCTACTGGGTTCTCTCCCTTTGAGTTGCTGTATGGGAGAAGGGTCCGCGGACCCCTAGATCTCATTCAGGGCCACTGGGAGGGGGAGACAGAGCAAGAGGGGACCCCCATTGTGCCATATGTTCTGGAACTCCGGGACCGCATGGAGAAACTGTCCCTGATGGTAAGGGAAAATCTCCAGGCGGCCCAGGGGAGACAGAAGAGATGGTACGATCAGGGTGCTCGACAGCGGGTCTTCCAGGTTGGGCAAAAGGTATTGGTGCTCAAACCTGTGAAGGCCAACAAGATGCAAGCATCTTGGCAGGGCCCGTACAAGGTAGTAGCGCAGATCTGCGATACTACTTACTTGATAGCCAGCTGTGCAGATGAGAGGATCCAGCGGTCCTTTCATGTGAACATGCTGAAAGAGTACCAGGAGAGACCTGAGAATATTGCAGCAGTATGTGCCCCAGCTGCAGATGATTCTGAGAATCTACCCCTTCCAGATTTGTTAGAAAGGGATTCCCAGACTGACCTCACTACCCTTGTACAGCTTGGGGACAGGTTGAACCCTACAGAAAGAGTACAGGCACAGCAGTTGTTGTGAGAGAAGCAGGCGACGTTCTCCCAGGAGCCAGGTTATACCACCCTAGCTGTACATAAGGTAGAGACCCCTGGACAGACCCCCTTACGACAGCCCCCCTATCGTATCCCTGAAGCAGTCCGTGAAGGAATGCGGAAGGAGATACAGGAGATGACCCAACTTGGGGTCATTGAGCACTCCGACAGCCCTTGGGCCTCGTCTGTAGTCCTGGTACCCAAGAAAGATGGGACCACCCGGTTCTGTGTGGACTACAGGCGGCTCAACGAGCGGACCCCACTGACGCCTACCCAATGCCACTGGTAGACGAATTACTGGATCGTATTGCCAGGGGGCGCTATCTGACCACCATAGACCTGTGTAAGGGCTACTGGCAGATCCCCCTGGCCGAGGATGCTATCCCCAAGTCGGCATTTGTCACCCCATTTGGCCTGTACCAATTTAAGGTCATGCCTTTTGGGATGAAAAATGCATGGTGGATAGACTCCTGGATGGCTTCCAAGAATTTGCCTGTGCATACTTGGACGACATTGCGATTTACAGTGGGTCCTGGGAGGAACACCTGGTTCATGTAGGGGTGGTACTGGAAAAGATTCGGGCCGCTGGCCTGACATTGAAGCCAGAGAAGTGCCATCTAGGTATGGCTGAAGTACAGTATCTGGGTCACAGAGTGGGTTGTGGGAGCCAGAGACCAGAGCCAGCCAAGGTAGAGGCAGTGGCTAACTGGCCCACACCTACCACTAAGACCCAGGTACTGGCCTTTTTGGGGACGGCAGGGTACTACAGACGTTTTGTCCCTGACTACAGCACTATTGCTAAGCCCCTGACAGACATGACAAAGAAGAACTTGCCTAAGCAGGTCCTGTGGTCTCCGGCTTGTGAAGCCGCGTTCCAGGCACTGAAACAGGCCCTTGTGAATGCCCCTGTCTTGGCTGCCCAGTCCCTAACAAACGTTTTCTCATCCATACAGATGCTTCCATATATGGACTGGGGGCTGTGCTGAGCCAAGTCGGGGAAGATGGAGGAGAGCACCCTGTCGCACATCTCAGCAGAAAATTGTTACCCAGAGAAGTGAGTTATGCGGCAGTGGAGAAGGAGTGTTTGGCCTTGGTCTGGGCATTGAAAAAGTTAAGTCCCTACTTATATGGGCAAGAGTGTTCCCTTGTGACTGATCATAACCCACTCGTTTGGCTTAACCGGGTCTCAGGAGACAATGGGAGACTACTGAGATGGAGCTTGGCATTGCAGCCCTACAATTTTACCATCAGCTACAGACCCGGTAAGCTGAACGGGAATGCAGATGTGTTATCTCGGCAAACAGACGTCTCCACCACCTCTTAGTCCGGTCATCCCCAAGTTGACCCGCCAAAGGGTCAAGCCGGGTCTGCCGGAGTGTCCCACAAGGAGGGAGCCGTGTGACAGAACCATCTGTCTGCTCATTTCAGGTGTATTCGTCTGTTTCTATCCTATTCGTGTGAATGGCTGTTTTCTATAGCCCAGCCATACGAATGACTGTTTTTTCCCGAACAAACCTGCCGAACGGACGGCCACCCAGGAGAGAAGTGTGCTGCTGGTTAACCTATTGATCTCAATTAGAACGTTGTGGTTAACCGCAGACACTTCTCAATTACACGAATTCAGGGTGGTCGTCGTTCGTATGTCGACCATGAGGCAGCGGCCATTTTAAACCACGCGAAAGCCCAGCGGTGTTCGGCTCTATTTTCATGGAACTAAAAACGGACACTTTTTCTGGCGAACACCGCTGAAACAACGGAACGCCTGGCTGCCTCCACGAAAGAAACATAGAAACATAGAAACATAGAATGTGACGGCAGATAAGAACCATTCGGCCCATCTAGTCTGCCCAATTTTCTAAATACTTTCATTAGTCCCTAGTCTTATCTTATAGTTAGGATAGCCTTATGCCTTAAACTCCTTTACTGTGTTAACCTCTACCACTTCAGCTGGAAGACTATTCCATGCATCCACTACCCTCTCAGTAAAGTAATACTTCCTGATATTATTTTTAAACCTTTTGTCCCTCTAATTTAAGACTGTCCTCTTGTTGTGGTAGTTTTTCTTCTTTTAAATATAGACTCCTCCTTTACTGTGTTGATTCCCTTTATGTATTTAAATGTTTTATCATATCCCCTGTCTCGTTTTTCTCCTTAAGCTATACATGTTAAAATTCTTAACCTTTCTGTAAAGTTTTATCCTTCCGCGAATCCATGAAATCCAGTTTAGTAGCC